CCTGAGCATTACATCCAAATTCCTTACCAAATTTGAAATAAAAATAGAAAAAGAAAAATAAATAGTATTAAATATTAATAAGAAAAATAAGACAAAATAAAAAGAAAAATTAGAGAATTAAAACTAGTGAGTGCGTAAGCCCGTTTTCGACACCGCCATCTTTCGCGATTTTTCATTTTTTTTTGTCATAGCCAAATGCCCTGCAACTTTACATATGTGTACGTCACAATACAAAACTCATGCAAAAAGTTTCAAAAAATAATAAAATATTTGACGCACCAAAATAAAATCACAACCAAAAGTGAAAAATGAAAAAAAAAACAAAAAAACTAAGTAGCCAAGCAGTGTTTAACATTGCAATCCTTGGCGATTTTTCGATTTTTTTTCGCTCGGCAAAATGCCTTGAAAATTTATATGCGTGTAGCGCATGTCCTGCAGAACGTGCAATTTTTTTTTCAACAAAAACAAATAATTTTTAGGCCCCAAAATAATTTTTGGACCCCGAACACCCGAACATTCGGGGGTCAGCCTGGGGGCGCCCGAACGTTCAGCCCGGTAACCATGTCTATATATATATACATCTAGGCTACCAGCCGGGCCGCCCGGGTCACCCTATTTCCCGGGGCGGCCCGACCGTGCAAGGACCGGGAAGGTCCCAGCCAGAAAAAAATAAAATAAAAAAAATAAAAAAACATCGAAAAAAAAACTATGTTATGCAGAAAAATAAACTGAACAACTTTTGCCTCAGGATCACATCGAAATTCCTTACCAAATTTAAAATAAAAATTAACAAATAAAATAAAATTTATTTTTAATGATTTTTTTTGCCCGGCCGGGCAAGTGGACCCGGGCCACTCTCGTATATATTCAGCCTCCTGATGAGTCGGTGAAACTCCGACGAAACAGTTTGTCACAGCCCCTCGTTTGTTGTCCTCTTCTCCCTCTCTGCCTACGGTTTACCGGGCAGTTCTATTTGACGATATATATATACCTCCTGATGAGTCGGTGAAACTCCGACGAAACAGTTTGTCACAGCCCCTCGTTTGTTGTCCTCTTCTCCCTTTTTACCGGGCAGTTCTATTTGACGATATATATATATATATATATATATCGTCACAAACAGATATATATACGCAGACATGGGAGCTGTCTGTAGGTATGTGTTGTTGCTTTTGCTGGAGAGAGAGAGAGAGAGAGAGAGAGAGAGAGAGAGAGAGAGAGAGAGAGAGAGAGAGAGAGAGAGGCATGCAGTCATCGTCATGTGGGACACCGAACACTGCTGAGCTCTGCACAGAGAGAAAGACGCAGGGGTTAAACCACCAGTACCTACCACATTTTTTGTACCGCCCCGGGTCGAATGAATATGGACCCGAGGGGCAGACGGATTCGGCTACCGTGTTAACGGCTGCAACAACCGGTAGGTGCTGGTGGTTTAAGCCGGTCATCTTTGGAGAGGGTTTACAAGTTGTTGATTGTTGTGTCCTCGGCGTCGCCTTCTGATCTCCCTGCCATGTTGCGTGTGGTGGAGTGGTTCTCCCGCCCTCCTGCCCTATGTCGGGAATGCTTTCTGGCCGTCCTCGACCAAAAAAAAGAGAAAAAGAGCCCATGCCATGCGAAGGTGAGACCAGGAAGTAGGAGACAGTGGGGATGGAGACAGGTATGCCGACAGGTACAAAGAGGAGGCTGCTGACATGGCAGAGCAGGGGGAACATGAGGAGGAGCAGGAGGACAGTGGTGACGAGCATGCCTCTCTCTCTCTGTCTCTCTCTCTCTCTCTCTCTCTCTCTCTCTCTCTCTCTCTCTCTCTCTCT